GGGAGTTTCCTTATCAATTATCGAAATTTACGTACGAATTCGGGTAGAAGTTCGCAAAAAAAACAATCAAAATTTCCCAAAATTCCCTCAGAATTTTCATATTGTGTGGTTGACCATGTGCATTATTTCCCTAACTGCCCCAATACTGCTGAAAGTCTTACCCGCCGAGCACTTCATGCATTGGTCATCTCGGACCTCGGTACCAGGTGGACAATTCAAGCCGTATGCCGAGAGAGCGTTGCCGAGCAGGAGGATACATTTGACCCAAGGCATCGTATTCTATCGTATTCACTTTCCTAGAGCGCTTGGTTGTGATGCGGACTGTCGCGGGTAGCAGATCTTCTATGGCTTTCATTGATCCATCCCTGAGCGACTCGACTCACGACGCAAATCGTGACAAATGCGAAATCACTGTACAATATCAGCAGTTCCCATGTGGGCATTGCATAGGGACTCTTCCTTAACACAGCCTCCCTCCCAGGCCACCGAGACAATAGAAAGACGGAGTGATCAACTTCAGTGCCGCTTATAGTCGATAACAGGCTCGTATTATACTCATCAGATACCTCCTGAGTGTCATACTCGATTACGAGCAAGGAATAGCATGGAGAGTGTCGCCATAGACTGGGGTATACGGCAGAATACCTGCCAACAGTCTCCGTCCCGATTGTAATCGGTTCTTTGAGTTCTCACTAAGAGCGGTGTTTGTACGGAGCTGGGCAGTGCCGCCGTCGCATTAGCATCGCAAGGCTTGTATGATACGAATCAGTTGCAAGCTTTTGTCACAGGTGAGCGTCGACCAGGAAATCCGAAGCCAACGAAATCCTTTTTAAGGAAGGACAAGCGTTCGGGTTGTTTCGAGACTCAACCGATGACGAGTCTGATAGAAATCACTTCGCTAGCTCATGAGTCGACTAAGTCAAGGAAAGCGTTGGACTCTGAATTGACACAAGCAAGAGAAAGTGCCCAACTCTAGTTTGAGACATTGCGTAACATTAAGATGACATGGAGCAGCCAGGGAGGGAAGACTCCTGCTAGTCAGACCTCCTTGAAGGGGTGCAGCGCGTAATGAATAGACCAGGTGAAACCTCACTCGCTAGTGAGAAGATGAGAGTCTACTTCTACGCCTTGTCCCATCCAATGTGAACGCACAAGTTTGGCAGCTGCGTTAAACGCAGGCTTATCAGCATAGTAAGGAAAAGTACCTAATTTTCGCTAACGACATCATGTGCTCCGAGTCGCCGATCATGTATGGTTTGACTGTTGTCACGATTCGTATCCAAACGGGAAGGCGGAGCGAACAAGCCGACCCTGTCCGAGTGGTCGATGACTAGAGAAAAAGACAGTTTAAAATACAGCGGGTCTTTACTTTTCAGATTGTGGTCGATGGTGCACTCAGAACCGTAGCAGGAGGAAGGTAGCGCCTCACAGACCGAGACGGCATTGGACGGGTTGGGCGGATGAGTAGCCATACCACCACAGGAAGGACTAGGTAAAGAACAGCCAGGCCGTGTGAACAAGACAGAGCTAGTGATGTGAGACCTGCATATGCATGCATTTATTGTACTATGCCGCCTCAATCGTAGGTAGACACTCTCTGTCACTAACCTGAACAATGCGATGTAATTCCCGTGTCTCGAGTCCCGACTCCCGATATAATTCTCAGATTATGATTGCAAGCAGTCCCCATTGAAACAGTATAAAAGTAGGCATTTGTGGACATGTAGAGTGCATCCTACAAACCCCATTAAAAACGTTCCTCGTCGTAGCAGTGACGCATTATCCCCAAGTATCAACAGTAGAGCAGTGCGGTACCCGCACGTTGCCGGTCCATAGCATTTTTAGGTCAATTTGGTATACTAACCGCTTTTACAATAACATACTCATTTCTCTCCAGTTATTGTTTTCGATGCACTACCGAAATTTCCAAGGAATTATTTAGTCCACAACATACAAACTCATCTCAACGAAGTTATGCAGCAGGCCAACGCCCGTGGTCTCTTACGGACCATCGGACCTTTAACGGCCGGCCAGTGCGCACACGGAAGCTGCGTAATACGCTCGTATCGCTATACATAATAATGGCTAAACATTACGTCTCGAATGCGTTCCTGTTCACCACAGTATCGCACCCCAACAGGCCTACTTGCTAGCTCTCCATGTGAAGCACCACTATCTCCGCCTAGTCCTCTTGAATAGGTCGATAGCCGATGCAGAACGCGGCTGACCCTCTTCTTATCGACCTTCCGAGCCATCATCCGCGCCTCTACCGGGTCCATCCCATCCCACACCAAGGACCTCGCTATCGTCTCCTCGAGATCGCCGGTCCCGGAGGCAAGTTTGGAAGCCTCATCAGGGGAGGACCTCAGGGCCTCCATCCTCTGCTGCATTTCAGACACCCTAGCCCGCAGCTCTGGGAAGAAGGCTGACCGGCCGGTAATAACTTTGGATCGCGACTGGGCCACTTGGGCGTCTATGCGCAGACCGGCATCGGGGTCATCTAGTCTGAGCGCCTCTCTCTTTTTCTTAAGAGCCGCCTCAAGCTCCTCTACAGAGGCGAAACCACAACGCATATTGATACCATTCACAGGCGCTTTACGTCCCCCTTGGCTCGACGATAAGGTCCTGTTTGCTCGACTCGCCAGAGCGGAGCGAAGCCGATTATCCTCAATTTCACCAGAACCGTTTGGAATGGAGTCCCTGACTGTCGTGATTAGCTCGCCATCTTCATAATCTCGACTATCTCGTATCACATCCGACAACCCCATGTCGTCGTCTTCGTCTTTGCCGGGCCTCACTGAATAGGGTCGGACCGGGGGAGGAATAACACCTCTTAGGCGGGAGGGCTCTTCAGTACTGCCTTTCCCCTGATCGCCGCCAAACTCCTCCCCCTCCTCAGACTCGTTCAGTTTGTTCCCTTGATCTGGGCTACGACTCCACTTCAAGCGGGGCGACTCGTACTCTGTCACGGAGTAGCTCAGCGAGGCCACCTCCTCCTCCTCCCCATCGCCCTTAGAGGGGTCGTCTGCTACCGAGTCAGACGACACGAGAGAAGATACCGAAGTGGGACGAGTTATAGAGGGACCAGCATCCACCACACTCCGAGGAGAGGAGCCGGTCGGGGCGGGGCTGTCCTCTAGTATGGACTCTGTCGAGGGTCCCTTGTCCTGCCCATCAGCAGGAGGTGAACTCACTCTACGTCCCTCTAGTTCGGCTAACGAGTGCAGTAAATGCACTCGCCTCACACGAGTGACCAGAATGTCTAAAGGCAGGCAGGCATGAGTCGACCAAAGCCAACTTCTACCTGTCCTAGAGGGCGCCACCACTGCAACAGCCCTGAGGAAGGCCCCTCCAGCTGAGCAATGAAAGCGTCCAGCCTTGAGCAAGGAGCCTAGCCTGAGATAGGCTGTCGCGTACAAGTCGATCCATTCCATAGGGAAGTCAGATCTGAACCAGCGAGGGTCTCCAACTGTCCTGTCAATATCAAAACCCACTCAGACGCTGTCGAGGCGACCACGAGGCTCTCCTGAGGGTCTAGCTTGCGAAGGAGTTGCGTGTAACCATCTTCAAGTAACCTAAATCCTTTTGCCTGAATCGCGACAATTCCTATTAGGACATCGCCGCTCCGTCTGACCTCAGCCGCGGCCCCCTCGTCCCCTTCAAGGCCCAAGTATTCATAGAGAGCATCGCCGAGGTCTGAGTCCTCTTCCAAGTCCACCTCGAAGTCAACAGCGAGCTCTCCTACTAGTGTTGGCTTCACCTTGGCGCTCTCGTCAGCGACACCTATGATCGATTTAGGCAAGATTCTGGTGAGTGACTGTAGACTACGTCGTAGGAATTTGAGTAACCATGCATGGTCTTGATGGCGTCCAAGAATGCACGGCGCGGCCCAAGCCACGAAGGCAAAGAACAACACCTAGCTAGATGGGGCATGCAGGGTCTGTGAACCAGTGCTGACTCGTACAGCTTTCTTCCGACTGCTAGCTCCCACCAGGGCCCTTCCTATCCTCATTTTTGTTGAGACGAAGCGACTCACCTAGGAGCAGACACCTGTGGCGGGCAGGTCGTGGAAAGTGAATACAGTGATGGTGCTGAGCGTGCGATGGATGTATCGGAACTTGGTCACGGCAGAGTCGGGCCCATGGGGGATGGGGAGCTCTCGATCGAGAAGCCTATGCGAGAGGCTCCGTCCTGAGGAGGTGAGTTGTTGTTGATGATGGTGTTGAGGTCACCAGCAGCGGCAAGGAGGCGTTGAGTGGTCCTTTCTTTTGGACCAGGGAAGGGAGCCTTTGTCGGCTTTATCGTGATAGACGGCGAAATAAGCTCCGCGATATCTAGCCGGGCTAGGTGGTCGAATGATGCTGTTGTCATCGTTACGGTGGCGTCGCTGCAAACTGAAATTGACAACGTAGTGGTAGTGGCTTTAACCAATTGCAGGAAGATAGAAGACGTAGTAAACATGAATGCGCACAGAGCAGCAAGGCAGAGGGACTTGTCGCAACGATTTCGATGAGGGCCCAGGTGAAGTAACTCCATGCAAATGTTGTTGGCAACACGGGTGTATTATTGTTCATCAGAGTTGTGGTTCCGAATTGATATAATAGTGAATCCAATCATGTTAATGGCACTACCTCATCACGTTTTCGATTGAAGGCTTTTCGTCCTTTGTGTTCTGGAGCTGATTCAAATTGCATGTTCGTACGCAAATACAAACTGGGCTTAGTTTTTTTCGGCTCAATGTAGGCTGTGGGAATCGAACCTGGGTCGCTTGATGCAGCTTGGGCCCTCGCAAACGCTTTTCGTCACAATATTCTACGTTTCGCTTCAGCGTTTGGAGCTGGTGGCATAGCCCTCACTAGGAGTTGTTTGTTACCGCCCTATAGTTGTCGATGCCTCAGCTTGAGAAGGCCTCGGAGGCGGCCACAACAGCATCATCACTGCTGCCAGAGTACCCCAAGGGTGAGTCGCCAACCTCCGAGGCAGGGATGGTATCTTGCTGGTCTTCCAGGTGCGCAAGTTTGGATACGAGATGATGAGCTTGTATGGAGGGGATGTGAAATACAAAGTACTGTTGGTGAGGAGTTCATCGTGAAGTGGTCTGATGATGACACCGAATCGAGGATTCCCAGACGGCAGGAGGTAGGCTTACTGCCACCTTCTGGGGGTACCTTTTCACCTGCTGCCAGTTCCATCTTCGTAATAAGGATGTGTTCTCATGGGAGGGCCTGGTGGTCCTGGATGACCTTACCCAACTACAACATCTGCATGAGCCGGCTCTACTCCATGCCCTACAAATTCGCTTCGACACGGACAAGATATATACATTCACTGGTGGGTATTTTTCATGGGGGGTCGACCCTTTATCCCCGAGCTCAGGTCCTATTCTTATCGCGATGAATCCTTTTAAGCGTATACCTGGTCTATACGACATCGACCGACTCGAACGAGTCCTGCGGGATCCTGCTTGTGCCAGCGAGCCGCATGTGTTTGCGGTCTCCAACTATGCATTCAGAGGGCTGTGTGATACCGAGACGCCTCAGACGGTGCTTATCTCGGGGGAGTCGGGTAATACGATAAAGCGGAGGAGGAGGAGGGGAGGATGTGCTCAGGCGCTGGCAAAACTGAAACCACAAAGTTCGTGATGAAATTCCTGGCGTTGGCTGGCGCTGGGGACAAGGGAGTTTCTAATGTCGAGAAAAAGGTCTTGGAGAGCAACCCGGTCCTCGAGGCGTTCGGAAACGCCAGGACTTTGAGAAATGACAACTCCTCTCGGTAGGCTGACTTGCGGCTGTTGTTGCTATTGGAAGGAGTGGCTTCGGTCAGATTTGGTAAGTTCATCCAACTTCAATTCAAGGATGAATCTCGTCATCGTCATCATCACCATCACGCCTTCCACGGCCCTAGGGGAAGCACAGCTGCATATCTCCGTCGAGAATTGGAGGCATCGGAGTTCACCAACTCGTACAGGCTGGCGGGCGCGAAGACGCAGACTTATTTGCTTGAAAAGGTGAGGGACGTCTGGTGGTGTTGGTGGGGCGAAAGTGTCTCAGGTGAGGGTCTGTGACCAGCAGGAAGGGGAAAGGAATTACCACATTTTTTACCAATGCGCGGCTGCAGCAATGGCGATCGCTGGCTCGGTGAGGAGTGGAGGAGTTGGTGCTGTGATGGGGAAGTTGCTGGTCTTGTCAGAGACAGTATGATTTCCCCCAGTACCTCGAGGAGGCCCCTTGCGAGGCCAAGATAGACCTTACAGGCTTTAGTGATGTGTCTACTTTTAACTACCTCACGAAGTCGAGCACGTTGGTGTTGGACGATGTGGATGATGTAGAGCAATTTGAAGTCACTGGTAATGCACTCGGGGGAAGGGTCCATAAGGGAATGTATCGTCTCGACTGGGGTCCACTGAGACGATAGTAAAGGGTGTAGGGCGTTGCTAGAGGACCTGGTCTCATGTTGTGATTGCTTTCAGTTCGAGCAATGCTGACTGTGGGCATTTCGGTCGGGGAGATCAACTCTATTATGAACATCATCGCTGCAGTCCTCAGGCTTGGCAATGTGATAGTTACCGTCCCAGAGTAGTAGGTGGTTGACTCTGGTTGTTGGTAGATAAGGTTCCGACCTCCCAATGGGGACAGTGATGCATCGGAGTTGGACCCAGCAAGCGAGAAGGATTTCCTCTTGCTGATGAGCCTCTTGGGCTTGGACGATGCTGAAGCCTTCATTAGGGCTCTCACGACCAAGACCATCACTACTCGTATGGAGGTGTACCATACGCCGGTCAGTGTTCACACTGTAAGGAAGGCTTGTGAGGAACGGTTGTTGAGGTTGTTGTTGGTGGTGGTGGCAGGCGGTAGAGTCTTGTGACTCGTTGGCTAGGCAGCTGTATGGGCTACTCTTCCTGAGGGTGGTCTCTCGTACGAACGACTCTATTGGTAATATGGGGAACCATTCAGCTTTGAGAAATAACGTGCTCTAGGATTTGATAACACTGGGGGGAATGAACGTAAAGTGATGACATTTACATGGGAAACTCATCGAAGAATGTTTCGGACCATGTGGAGAACTAAAAATGAGTTCTCCTCGCGAACAGTATAGGTTTGTGAATGATTCCTTGGGCGTGTCATTGTGATTGTTATGTGGGATAATAGAAGGTGGTGACTCGTGGTGACACTGGAGTGCTCGTCGTGGGGTTGGAGGGTGAGTGTCCTTATGTAGGTTACGATCCCAAGGCAAACCTTTTCTGTGGAGTTTTGGATATTTTCGGTTTTGAGTGCTTCAAACAGAACTCATTCGAGCAGTTATGCATCAACTACACCAACGAGAGGCTACAGCAGTTCTTCAACAATTTCATTTTCAAGATGGAGGTAACAGCATAAGGGAGATCATTTAGTGACAGTTCTGGAAATTATTATTTTTCTGACAGGAGCAACTTTATGCTGAGGAGGGCATCGCGTGGGATCCTCTGGACTTCCCCGACAACCAGGACGCTGTGGACCTCCTAGCAGACTCTCGAATGGGTATCTTCTCGTTACTTGATGAGGAGTGTGTTATACCCGGCGGGTCCGATAAGAACTTCTGTTCGAAGCTGTGTCATCGGTATAAGGAGCATCGGAGGTGGGCTTGCTGTAGTGATGGGGGGGAGGGGTAGGTGGTCGTTGTAGGTTCGATATTGTTAAGACTAGACAGGATTGCTTTGTGGTAAATCACTTTGCGGGGCCGGTGGAATATGACACTGAGGGCTTCATGGATAAGAATAAGGACCAGGTACTGGGGATGGTGACACGGCGCACCTGGGTGTCACCATGATGACCTTAGATGTCGTATTCGTTGTTTAAAGTGATGAAGGGGTCTTCATCGGATTACGTGTCAACGCTATTTACGGAATATGAGGATACGAAATTCCAAGATCCTGATTCGGCCCCCAGCGGAAAGTCTAAAAAGAAGCTAACGACGATCAGTGGGGAGTTCAAGCAGCAACTGAACGAGTTGATGGTAGTACTCTGGAGGGCCTATTTCGGCTGCTTGTTGTTGTTGATGTTGCTGGTCTTGTTGTTGCTGGTCTTGTTGTTGTTGTTGTTGATGATGATGATGATGATGATGATGATGATGATGATGATGATGATGATGATGATTTTCAGGAGACGGTGAGGGAGACGGAGCCCCACTTCATTCGGTGTATCAAGCCTAACCCGATGAACCTTCCGGATGTCTACGACCGCCCCAGTGTTTGTGAACAACTCAGATATGGCGGTGTGCTACAGGTGCTGAGAGGAAGGGATAGGAGATGACGTGTCGTTGGTCTCTCGTAGAGGAGACTCTTATGTGTGTGTAGGCTATCCAAGTGTCTCGAGCGGGTTACCCTGTACGGATCTCCCATGAGGATTGCTGGCTCGACTACATGCAGCTGGTGAAGGGTGAGTCCTTAGGGCAGCATTATTGTGGAGGAGAGTATGGCTTTCAGGCAACTTGGCGGAGTATTCAGCCGAGGAGGACATGTCGAAACGGTGCCTTAAGTTGCTCACGACGGTGTCTACGGTAGGAGGGGGTGGAGGGATGTCTTGGGAGTCTGTGTGGTCTTTGTCAGTCCTTGGGTATAGAAGAGGGCCTGTGGGAGGTGGGGAAGACGTTGGTGTTCTTCAAACAGAAGGCATTCGATGCCCTACAGGTTGGTTCTGATGCGAGCTCTGGTCTAGGGTGTATTCTCAGAATGCTCGTATGCATCTGCGTGCGGAGGCGGCCACAAGGATCCAGGCTCAGTGGAGAGGGCTGAGGACTCGGGCGTGGTATGGATTTGCGATAATATGTTTGGTGAAGATGCAGGCCCTCGTACGGGGCAAGATGGCTAGGATACGCGTGGCCAACATCAGGCGGGAAGTCGCTGCTGTTAGGATCCAAAGCTGGTCGGTGTGGTTACCATTGTGATGGTGATGATAGGGTTGTGACAGGTGGCGTATGGAGAAGCAGAGAATTGCGTATGAGGATACACTACGGAAGGTCATCTTCATTCAAGCGGTTCAGCGTGGACGGATGGCCCGAGTGTTTGCTAAGGAGGTAGGGAGAGGGAGGAGGTGGAGGAGGAGGAGGTTTTCGTCTGTGTCAGTATCGCATTAATACAGCAGCAGCAAGGATCCAAGCAGCGTGGAAGGGCTGGCATGTTCGTCGGCAATACTGTGCCCTTCGTGGTAGTGCCTTGGCGGCCCAGAGGCAGTTCCGGATGAGGGCGGCTAAGATGCAGTTGAGGCGGCTCAAGCAGGAAGCGAAGGTGGTTGAGTGGAGGGGTAGGGCGGCTGTTGAGATCAACACTGTTATTGTTAGGAAGTGGGATCGTTGTTGGCCAAGTATCAGAATGCTCAGGCTGAGGTTACTATGGTGAAGAGGAAGCTGGCAGAGACTGAGGCCTTGCTGCTGCAGTCGAAGAGTGAGAACCAGCAGTTGAAGGTTGGCAGAGAGGTAGGTGCAGTGCTGGGGGGTATGTTCGCTGTCCTCAGCTGAGCACAGGAATCTCCTCGTCAAGTATAGGAGTTTGTAGGCGAATTCGGGGTAGAAGTGTACGGAAACCGACCGGAATTTCCCAAAAATTTCCTCGGAATTTTCACACATGTAGTTGACCATGTGCGAATTCCCCACAGTGATAGGGTGTATTGGTTTTGGGGGTGTCAGACTTTGAGCCAACGAATAGTCGTGTTGGAGGGGCAGCTGGATGCAGCGGTTAAGAAACATGAGGAGGAGATGGAACAGTTGGCATCGCAGCATACTGATGAGTTGGCAGCAGTTGGAGGTGAGAATTGCGGGGTGCCGGGATCGAACCTGGGATCTGTCCATCTTGCAGGTGCTGCTGCCTTGGTGGGAGGGGCTGTGGCTGGTGGGGCTGCTCTATCGATGTCGGCGAGTGGCGGTCCTAATGCTACCGTTGCGGGGGGCGCTGCTACGTTGTCGAGGGTATCGTCACCACGCGTGTCACCAACGACGAGCATCTCTAGTCCGACCATGTCTGCGGTAGGGGCGTTATGAACGAACTGTGTTTATGGTGGATCCTTGTGGGGTTCCTGTCAGGCTGGGCTGGAGACGGCTACTGTGGCAAGCGGCGTGGAGGCAGCTTCGGTGGTACGGCTGAGGCAGTCGTTGGTGGATGCCAATTTGAAGAGTGAGGGGTTGGAGAGTGAGAATGAGAGGTTGAAACAGGAGCTAGCTCGGGTCAACAAGGAGAGGGAGGTGAGAGATTTTCTCATGCGGAAGGTCGTGGGTTCGATCCCTGGAGGGTGGTATGTTTTTTTCAGGAGTCGGAGGCTAAGTACCAGACCATGTTGAAGAACACAGTCTACCAGTCCCAGGCGAGCACCCACCAGGGCCCGGCCCAATCACGAGCCGTATCGGATGCTACGGGTCTGGGCGCGCGCAATGTTGATATCCAGCTGGTCGGACCCCAGGGAGTGGTAAGTGAGGGCAGCAGCGTATGATGTATACCAAGGTGTTGTTCCTATGTAGGGGAAGTCGCCGCTATTGGCCGGCCTTATCCAGCAGCTGGACCCCAGCAAGATGGCGGAGTTTGAGAGGAATCGTTCGAACTTGATGGCACATTATCAGCTCCAATTCAAAGACAGCGGCGGTCGGGAAAGGTGGGGGCGTCAGGAGGAGGATGAGGTGTTCAGTTGTTTTGAGTGTAGGGTCCTGAAGGTGTTGGACTGCAACGGCAACAAGAGGGCCCAGCATTTGGTCAGGGAGTGGTTTGCTCGATCGCGTTGGGTGAGTAGAGGAAGGTGTGGTATGGTATTAATAGTGTTGATGCTGTACAGGTTATTTGTGTTTATGACATGAGCTCGAAGGATTCATTGAGGCAGGCGTTGGAACTGATGAAGGAGGGGGGACGAATGGGCGCTAATGTGAGAATATCTTTTGTGCATGCGTGCTGAAGTAGATTTTCTTCATAGTGCGGTGAGAAGGAATTTACACTTGTGTTCGGGTGTACGCCGCGGTGTGAATCGTCTATAGCAAAGAAATTGGAGAAAAACTCCTTCTTCGAATTGATGTGCCTCGCCATGAGTTTCCTGCTGGGAGTCAGAAGTATAGTGGTAGTTGGAATAAGACGAGAGTTTTCCAGCTTGTGGTCTGGGAGTCTGGTGGGGAACACTTATACGTGGGGGCAAATTTGGCGGCCATCCAGACGATGTCACTATTTTTGTTCGAATGGTTGTTGACCAGGTTCTCCTGTTTGGGAATCTCCAGTCAGTTCAAGCTGGCAAGGCAACCGCCCAGGTTGATGTGATGAAGGCTAAGGATGCGGCCGCTAGTGCCAATGCATTAGCAGTTGAGGGCAATAGGCTTATGGATGCGGTAAGGGTTAGTGTAGAGTAGAGGGTAGCTAGGTAGAGGAGGCAGGTGCGACTCATTCTGAGCGACCTCGATGCCAACAGATTTGCTGCGGCTTCTGCGTCTCCACAGGCGGGCAGTGGAAAGGAAGCTGTGGTGAGTGGTGGAGGATTTGATTATTTGTCTTTGGCTTCAATCTGTTTGTTATTGTAGGTGTCCACGACAGGATCATCAGCATCGTCGTCCTCGGTAGCAGTAGCAGCAGCAGAAGGAGGAGCAACACCGTCGAGCCGCGCGCTCCGTGCGGACTCCCATGCAAGTTCTCATACACTTAGTGGGGCTTTGGAGACCTTCAAGGGCTGGTTTAAGGGCTCAGGTAGGGCCTTGGGTGGGTAGTGGTCTTGGTTGATGATGATGGTTTATGAAGGATAGTGATGTCAGGATCGTTGTCATTGCTAGGGCCATGGCCAAGGCTGGACCCTAAGCATGTGATTCGGGCAGGTTGGAGGCCCTATTGCTCGGTTGTGTTGATGTGAATGAATACTCCTAGTAAACGTACAAACCCTTAGTGGTAGCAGTAGTGGTGTATTAATATCGATCTTACTCCATTATTGGTGTTTTCGCGAACAAGAATCGTTATTGTTTGTTCCTTATGGTTCCTCATCGTTATTGCTATTAATTTGATGCGTTGTTGTCAATGGGCGTCATCGTTCGTGATCAGATAATAAAGTTCGCCGATCCAATGGGGTGCTGAAGGCCTCTTTACGTGGCAATAAGACTATGAGGGAGCGAGGTGGACCCAATAAGGACCCTGCAGTAGCGGACATTCGCCCTGTACAGGAAATACAGGTGAATTGATGATAAGCCTCCAGCCTGCCATGTGTTTTTCAGGACTCGGAAACTGCTGTGACGTGCATTGCATTTGGGCAGGAGAAGCTCCATCGCTCACACATTCTTCTGGCAGCAGCCTCTAAGGATGGTAGGGGTCGGCTGGACCGTCGGCGTCCGCGTTACCGAGGCGTCTTTGATTACGACACGACTGATGATAGTCGCCTCGATGAGAGCTCTTTTATATAGATTTTTACTGTCGTATTTGTTGTTATCGCGTCGTCGAAGGTACGGTTGTTGTTTATCGATGCTACCGTACTGAGATGGAGCTGGCCCGTCTGGACCCGTCTGATTTCCCTAATGACGATGCCTCTGAGGCTCGGCAAGAGGCGGCTCCGGGGGCAAAAGTCGTTCTCCATTCGAGACTGGTAGGATGCCTTTTTGCTATTCATTGGCTGTTGTATAAAGTTCAGTTGAAAGTTTTGTAGAGATGTATTAAAACTGTTGTTAAGTGCGTTGTTTCGATGCGTTGTTGGTGTTCAGGTTGGTCACAGTAGGGCGATCACTTCGATGTTCTTCAACCTTTTGGAGGATACCATAGTAACCACTAGTATCGACAAGTCAGTGCGCTTCTGGATGGTAGACACAGGAGAAATGCTCAAGGTTAGCTGAATTGAAACTAGCGTGTGTTATTGACCGAATCGTCGCTCAGGTTTTCACCGATAGTTCACCAGTGCCAGTGGCATGCTTTCTCCCTTTTAACCCACAAGTGTTTGTAGCCGCAAACTCTAATGCGGTGCTTCGGTTGGTAAGTGAGGTGGCTAGAGATGCTAGAGGG